ATGATGTAGACCTTCACATAATCTAAGAAACAAAATTTTCACCCAAATAAAAAAACTAAACATGCGTGAAAATTTATTTAAAGATACATTAAAAGTACTTGTTGCATATTGGTATTGTAGCATGGGACTGCTCAAGGGATTTACAATATGAATTTCACTCATCTTCGCACTCATTTAAGCATCAAATCAATCATTAGCTCTGTGATTTCTATATTATTCTAAATAAAACCCAGGAGTATATGCAAAATGTTTTCTTCAGTGAATGATATCATAGACCTTAAGATCACTCATTGAAGAAACCATGATCAATTATCCTCTTCAGCAAAGAATTTGTATTTGATAGTAAATGTGTAAAGAGCTCAATGTAGAAGTACAACATAAAATCTAAGAGTCTTTAACTAACTGAACCTTATCCACATAATTGTTGACGATCTCCTCAGAAACTGGTGCTTTTCCAGAATAAGACTGATCGGGACTGTTTTGGTCCGGCCCCACTTGCAATCCCCTCTCTCTAAATTCTCGTTGCTGTTCAAACTCCCTGAGACCAAATGTAACTACATATAAGCAGTTTGAAATTAGATGCAAGCAAAGAGTTTACATGTTTTCAATAAATACCTGAAACCAGTTTTAGAGGTTAACAGTTGTACAGTGACCTGTCATTGAGTACAAATTAAATATTATTTAGACGTTAAACGATACAAATCTATAGTAGGAAAGAGTTTCAAAGACTTTCTAGAGGAAGATACATAATCTCCAAAGGATGTTTTAAGAAATTCAAAAGCCCTCACATGTAATATAGCTCCAGAATCAAAGCCAAGAAGAGGCAATAGAACAACAGAAGGCTTTGATGCATCAGCATAATCAGCAAGATTGATGGTAGCCTCACCAAGAAGGCTGGTTCTAGAGGAACCCTGCCAAATGAATCAGTTGAAAGATAGTTAAGGTTATACTAAGTGTGTGGTCAAAGTTTTGCAACTAAATTGTAAGAACTAGGATCTAACCATTGCCACAACAAGCTTATAGATTTTTTCATCGAATTGTTTAGTTTTGATGTCTTGGAGAAGCCTCGTAGTCTCATAAATTGGATCAGCCCATTTGCAAGTTCCATTTCTCACATTTGCTTTGGTTGTCTTTGTAGTTGTTTTTCCAGAATCAGCAGGAACGAAGGATATATACAGTTTATCCCATCCATTTTGTGGAATCTGAATATTTCAGAGAAATTATACGTAGCATGCAGTAATAGCAACAATCAAGATGAATGATGCAGCAAAATCTTTTTCCAGTGATGGGCAAGTAATCACATATTACACTACAATGTATATGGTCGGAAACTTAAGATTTATTTTAGCACAGATCAGAGGAAAAGATAGAAAAGATTCATTCAGATGAACTGAAGTCTAGTTGACTAAATTTAAACCAGCAGATTCTTCTCTCAGCATTATGGTTGATATAAATAATTAAGCACTGAAAAATTCCATGCAACACGAAGCTTATAAAGTTATAATTTGTCCAGATATATAAAATTTAAGATTAAGCACAGATCAGATAAATGTATGAAAAGGGTTCACTCAAATTATTCAAGTAGTTTATAAGATTTGAACTCTTGTGGACTAATGTCAAACCTTATAATTCTTTTCCTAATAGAATGGATGGTTAATATGAATCATCAAAGCAAAACAAAGGGCATTAACTTAAAGCATTGACATAATTTCCAATTAAATTCTAACTTTCATCATATGGATGGATATTACAATAACTAGCTTACTTTTTTTTCCTTCTGGTTACATGGATATTAGAATAACTTTCATCCGATTTGGTAAACATATGTTGCTATATGAATTCTAATATCCCGATTCTTCAGGTTTAATATGATCTTAAATCAAAGTAGATCAATGAGTGATTAGCTTTAAAAAAAATGCATGTGCTAAAAAAATTCATGAATACAAATTTTGACTTACATGCGTAGCATGGAATTGTAACCGGAATACAACTTTTTTTTTTGTCTTCTCAATCTTCCATTTCGTGCTCCTCGACATTATGAGCAAATTACTCAATCACCAATTGTATGACATAGCAGTCCCCCTCAATAAACTTCCTCTGCTTACAACAAACAATCCAACAAGGACACCATTTCCTCATAGATGAAACATGATCTAGTGCAGGTATAAAACATGCTTGAAATCCAAACCCTCCTGCAAGTATTTAGATCCCATGAGTAACATAATCATAACAGGAAAAAAAAGTTTTTCAAACCCCCACATGCACACAAGATCAGTACAGATCAAGGTTTATGTTTCGTTAACTAGGAATTCAGATTAAACGCAACTCCAAGTTAACAACTAAAAGAACCCACTACCATAAACTCTGTCATTTTCAATTATCTGGTCTAGTGAGTTTGGTTTCAGCATTACTTGAGAAACCAACACAAACAGATGATAGTGAAAAGAGATTATTTTGAACTAAACGCCAAATTTGAGACAAAGAAATCTTTCTAGAATACTCTGTGGGGAAAAAAAGATAAAAATGCCAAACCCCATAAATAAAATTCAAAATGCTGAATTGATAATTCTCGGATCCAATCTTTTTTTAATGTTAAATAAAAACATGAAGACCGTGAATACAAACCAAATAAGATAACTCAGCTAAACAAAGCTTAAAAAACACAATCTCTCTTCTTCTCCTAAAATACCCAGATTGTTCACCGGGAAAAAAAACAAAAAAACAAAACCAACCCAATTGAAGAAACGTCAATGAATGCCAATAAAAACAATAATCCATGTAAAAAAAGAATAGACACTTTAGCACATGTAACCATCCCAAGAAAAGGAAAATCAGATGCGTAGTGAAAACGATAAGGGGAAATGGAGGTAGGTACCCAATAGCGGATCTGCAGGTGCTTGAGCTGGAAGAAAGAGCACATAAGATTCAGTTTTTCTGACAACAGTGAATAAAGGGTAAAAAAACCCAGTAAGTTCCTAGAGAGACAAAGGAGAAAAACTGTTTTTATATCTATAATTGAACTGTTGGGTGGGTATCTTGTGAGTTGAAAACTTTTCCTGTTGGGTGAGTGAAGGAGAAAACCTCGAGATTTTGCTTTGATTTAGCCAAAAAAACAAAACAAAGTGAAAATTGGATTAAGAAGATAATGAAGTAAGGTGCAATGGAGGTTTGTTTGAAGGTAAAAGATCAGCTTTCAGAATTTCAAAGGATGTGATTTGATTAACATTTATGGAGTATAATAAAAGAGACATCCCGCCAAAAGCCTATTAAATGTGAATTATAGAAAGATTTGGAAGTGTTAAGTATTAGTACCTCCAACTATTATTTATGTTCCATTTTAATCATTCAATTATTATTTATTTTAAAATAATATTTAATGAAATGTTTTGGTTAATTTCAAAATCAATGATGATGTGGTATTATCTCATGGTGATATGTTGTCGGTATCATCTTTAATTTTTTAACGGTGAAAGCTAAAATGTAACATTAGATATGATTTTGAAAAAATTAATAATGATATAACTAAAACAAAACAAAAGTGATATTTGGGCTGCTAAATTTGTAGTTTACCCTTTATTTTACTGAAAAGCCTCATTTAATCCCTAAATTCGATTACTTGTCCACATTAATCTTGAGTTCTTTTTGCTTATCTTAATAAAAAAAATGTTTGATTTTTTAATATTATTATATTAATAAATTTATAATTAAATAATTTTATGTGTTATGTATGATTTAAAATTAATATATGTTTAAATTTTATTGCACTCAGGAAATAATATTTTATATAAAATATTTTTATAAATAATTATTTAATGTACGAACACTTAGATTAATAAATGATTTTTAAATAGATATATTAATTTTGTGATCGATTTGCACTCGTAATATTATCATTCCACGTCAATAATTCGACTTAGGAGTAGGACCAGCATGAGCTCCGGTTCAAGACCTTGTGTTTCATTTTCATAAAAATAATAAAAATAATGTGTTTGATAATAGATTTTATGTAAAAATAAGAGTTCAAAATATATTATTTGTTAACTTTAGGTGTATAAAGTTTTTTTTACTATAAGTGTCTAACGTTTTTTATGTTATACTTTTAGGCATGGTTATCAAACCGGACCGGACCGACCAGTTCAACTGGTTTAATCGTGAACCGGTGGCTTGTCCGGTCCGGTTACCTCACAAAACCGGACTGGCAATGAACCGGCTGAAAACTGGTCGAACTTGTTGAAAACCGGTTTGAACCGCCAGTTCATTTTTTTTCTTTTAAAAAAAATTAAACCAAACGACGTCGTTTGTTCAACGAGCCGAGTCAAATTCGAGTATTGCTGAGCTTGACTCGAACTCGAAAACTTTAAAAGCCATATCTGAAATTCTAACGCTCTCCAGGCGCACGTTAGTAGGACTAACGGAGCATGTGTCTCCTCATCGCGTCGCCGGTGATCTAGCCACCATCCTCAATTTCCTCTTTCTAATCTCCTCTGCTCATCATCTTCCCACCAACTATGGATTGGAGGAAGCTTTTCAGATGTCAAGAAGGTCAAAAGTTAACATATTTCCCCCCCCAAATCGTCCGATAATTCATCGATCGTCTGCCTGCCATCAGAGGTCTTCGAGGCTGGAATTGCTGACTGGAAATCCTCCTTAGTTGGTCAATTTCTCGGGCCCACACCTAATTTCTAAACTCTGCAGAGAATTATCGACAACCTATGGAATATTCAATCGAAAGGGGCACGAGTCCAGGTTATTCAAGCGGGTAATAATCTCTATGTATTTACCTTCAACTCTGATTCTGATAGAGACTGGGTCCTTGAACACGGACCATGGCATGTTCTTAACAACCCTTTAATTTTAAGGAAATGGGAACCTAATATGCATAGACTGGATTTTGATTTATCTTGTTTACCTATCTGGATTAACTTGTATAATGTTCCTCTGGAATTGTACACTCAAGATGGCCTTAGCTACATTACTATTCTCTAGGAACTCCAATTTCTATGGACACTATCATTGCTTCGAAGACTAAACTCCACTATGCTAAGGTTTGTGTAGAGATAGGAGCTAAAGAGGAAATACCTGAAACTGTTAAAGTGAAACTTACAAATGGTCAAACTACTCTAATCTACGTTGAGGTTCCCTGGTTTCCAAGTAGGTGTAGCAAATGTGTTTTATTTGGTCATTCTGAGAAAAATTGTCCTGCTAAACAATCTACTGCTCCTACCACTTCGAAAATTTGGCGAAAAAAGTCAGTCTCTACTACTAACACAGAAGTTAAGAATTCTGACAGTAAAGAAGATTTGCAGCACCAAAAACAGAATTCTTCTTCCTCCAAGGAACTTTCAAATCCTAAGATTAGTCATTCTGGAGAAGCTTCAGTTAATCAAACTGAGCAACTCTCCAAAGATGATTCTATAGTTCCTCCTAGTTCCCCTGTTGGAGAAGAAAATTCTCCTATTACCCAACTTTTACCTCAAACTGATGATTCTATCCAAGTAGTAAATTCTCCTAAGTCTCAATCTGCTGCTAATAAGGTTCAAGAACTTGTTTTTATGCCTAAAAGAGATAGAGGCTGGCCTATCAAGATCAAACCTAAAACATCTCTTAAAGGGTCAGCAAATCGATTAGAAATTCTTAGTGCAGTTGATGAAAGTTCACCAATTGTTGAGGTTCAAGTTAGAAAAAAGTAGACCTGCTGCCTCAGGAGTAACAAACCTTCTCAAGGAACTAAAAGTAAAAAAGAATGAACAAATGGTAAAAGTTAAAAACCCTTTTGAAAAAGGAGGAACCTCTAACTCTCCTTCTCAATGAATATTTGCTTTTGGAACATTAGAGGATTAAACAATCCTCAAAAGCAAATAAAAGTTCTCCAAAGAGCCAATCTTTACAAAGTTGATATTCTTTGCTTGATGGAAACCCGTATTAAGTCTGAAAATTCTGCCAACATTTTACACTCTAAATTTGGTAGCTGGAATGTCCTCACCAACTATAAATTTGCCTCTAATGGACGAATTTGGTTTCTCTGGAAAAAAGGAATTGATATCAGTTTTTGTAATTCTTCCGATCAAAGTATTTCTGTCAAATTCCATTTCAATTGCACCTCTTTGATCATCACTGCTATCTATGGCAGCAACAGTGTCATTACTAGAAGATCCCTCTGGCAGCATCTCAGAGATCTTAACTCTCAATTTAATGTTTTTCCTTGAATTCTAGGAGGAGACTTCAACTATTTTTCTTCACTATAAATAAAGCTCTGACTCCGATCTATTAGGACCTTATCTTTCCTCTGATATGAAAGACTTCATTGATGTGATTCAAGACCTTCTTCTCCAAGACCATCCTTTTTTTGGCCCTTCATTCACTTGGAGCAACAAGTAAAAAGATGTCTTCCTTGCAAGAAAACTTGATAGAGTTCTTATAAACCCTCATTGGGCCAATTCTTTCACTAAGTCATTTGTTGAATTTCTTGCCCCATGTCCTTCTGACCATTGCATGGCTATTGTGTGGTTAAACAAAGAAACTCATACAAACCGACCCAAACCATTCAAGTTCTTCAACTTTTGGTCCAACCACCCTTCTTTTCTTGATATAGTGAATTTATCATGGCAACAACCAGTTCAAGGTAATCCTATGCAGACTCTTTTTCTCAAACTAAAAAGACTTAAGCCTTGCTTACAAGCTTTGAACAAAAACTCATATAACAACTTATCTGCTAGAGTCAAACTCAAGAAAACAGAGATGGAACAATTACAAATCTCTACTCTTAAAGGATCCAGCCCTCTTGATAAGGAATTGTTTGTCCAAAATGAGCTGGCTGCTCTTGAGGAAGCTGAAAACATGTTTTTAAAACAAAAATCCAAAGTTAGGTGGCTTAAGGAGGGGGACAAGTGTACCAAGTACTTCCACTCTGTCATTGTAATAAAAAACAAAAAATATACCTTCAGGGTTCTTATAAATGCTCAGGGTAAAAGACTTGAATCCTTTGATGATATGTCTACTGATGTCCTTGATTTCTTCAAACAATAATTAGGTTCAGCTGATCTTAATGTAAAGCAAGTTGATCCTCACTATTTGAAAAGTCTGCTCCAATTCGAACTATCTCCTGATTTTTCTTTGGACTTAGTCAAACCTGTTACTAACGAAGAGATCAAAGAAGCATTATTTAGCCAAGGAAATGACAAAGCTCCAGGCCCGGATGGATTTACCCCTTTATTCTTCAAAAAATCTTGGTCGGTGGTAGGAGACGATGTAATCAAAGCGATCAGATTCTTCTTTGAAGAAACTTCTATTCTGTCTGCTTTTAATTCTACGATTATAGCTTTAATTCATAAGCTTCATAATCCTAGTTTTGTCAAGGACTACAGACCTATCTAATATTGCTCAGTGGTGTACAAAACCATCTCCAAAATCCTTGTTAAAAGACTGACAACATTGCTGCCCGATCTTATTACTCCAAACCAGTCTGCTTTTGTCCGAGGAAGATCGATAATTGATAATACTATTCTTGCTTAGGAATTAGTCAAAGGATATGGAATGAAGAAAATCTCTCCTAGGCGTGCTCTCAAAATTGACCTTCAAAAAGCTTTTGACTCTCTTCATTGAGACTTCATTTCTGTTACCCTCAAAGCCATTGGTCTCCCATGCATTTTCCTAAGGTGGATTGAGGCTTGTTTTAAAGAAGCCATATATTCAATTTCATTCAAAGGTAGCTTAGTTGGTTAGTTTAAAGGGTAGAGGGGGATCAGACAAGGTGACCCATTATCCCCTATTCTCTTTGTACTTGCTATGAATATTCTCTCCAAAATTCTTAATCTAACTGCTTCTAAAAGGATCTTTGGGTATCATCCTAAATGTAAAAAAATAGGTATGACCCATCTTTCTTTTGCTGATGACCTCTTATTTTTCTGCAAAGGAAATCTTGAGTCTATTGATGGTATCATTTCTGTTTTAAATCACTTCTATGAATTGTCTGGGCTCAAACTTAATGTAAGCAAGACTGAACTTTTTGCTGCTGGTATTTCACCTCGAAATCTTGAAGTTATTCACTGCATTTCTGGTTTCAAGCAAAGTCATCTACCTGTAAGGTACTTGGGAGTTCCCTTAATCACAAAGAAACTGTCTGATATTGACTGCCAACCTCTTCTGGACAAAATTAAGCTAAGATTATACCATTGGTCTAGTAAGATGCTTAGTTATGCTGGAAGACTGGAATTAATTAAAACAGTTATGTACAGTGTGGCTAATTATTGGTGTAGGCAATTCATACTCCCTCAATCTATAATCAATCGTATTAATCAGTTATGTTCACGTTTCCTTTGGAAAGGAAATGATCATGCAGCTAACGGGGCTAGGGTCAGTTGGTCAAATATGTGTTGTCCCAAATCAGAAGGTGGCTTAAGTCTAAAGAACATAAAAACCTAGAACATTGCTTGTATGTTACAGATTATACAAAAGATTCTGGCAGGAGAAGGCTCACTTTGGGTAGCTTGGTTAAACTATTATGTTCTCAAGAATTCTAACTTCATGGACATGTCTGCTAGTAATGCTCATAGCTGGAACATTAAGAAACTTCTGAAGCTTCGTTTTTATGCTCGTTCTGTTTTAAATGCTGGAACAAAAAATACCAAGGACATTTGGGAAGCTATCAGAGAAAGAAGAAGTAAGGTATATTGGCATAAAATTATTTGGTTTCTTTATCATATACCCAAATTTAGTATGATTGCTTGGATGGCCATCTTAGACAGATTGCTGGCCAACTAGAGACAGATTGTTAAAGATGGGAATTGTTACTAATAGTCAATGTGTGCTTTGTAATGAAGCTCTTGAATCTAGGAACCATATATTTGTTGATTGTAAATTTGCTAAGTCTATATGGAATTCCATCTTAAACCTCTCTCAATTGCATAAAATTCACATGCCTTTGGATTCTATGCTAGCATGTGCTTGTAATGACTGGAAGGGAAAATCCCTCATCTCCACCTTATTGAAAATTGCTTGGACCTCCTTTATTTATTCGATTTGGGAGGAGAAAAACAGAAGAATCTTTCAAAAAAGATCAAGAGAAGCTGATCAAATTATGTCTATTATCAAGGATATAATCCGAATTCAACTTAGAGGGGAAAAATTCAACTTGTGATAATTTTATACCTTTTAATATTGTAAACTTAAAAAAAGTGTTACATATATATTAATATTGCTTTGAATATTATGTAAAATTAAAAAAAAAATATTTTATATAAAATCTGGTTCAACCCGGTTGAACAAGTGAACCAGTACCTTCACCGGTTCAATGTCCGGTCCGGTTTTAAAAACATTGATTTTAGGTGTCTATCACATAACGAATGTTAAATTTTTTTAAGTGTCACATGTCATTGCTATATTTTTTGAATTTTTTATTTAAAAGAATAAAAAAAATAATCTCTGTGTGTGTCATTCCTCCCGTCCCCCTATTTTTTCTCCCTCATGTCCCCTGCAATCAACCTCTCGTCGCCATCATTGACGTCATCAATCGATCATTGCCACATATGTATGTGCTACCATCATCGATGTTTTCATTCTTTAAATAATAAAGGCTTAATACAAAAATAAGTGTTTAAAGTTTGTTTCGAAAAACGTTTTAGTACTATTTTTTGTTGTTGAAAATAGGTGCTAACATTTTCATTAGAGCACTTTTAGGTGTTTGAACCGTAACGATCATTAAATTTGACTGTTAAGTGACACGTGTCAATATTTTTTATTAAAAAATAACCCAACAGCCTGTGTCCCCCTCTCCCCTTTTTCTTTTCCCGCTTCCCCTTTCCCCTTTCCATGGTCGTTGGCCGGTCATTCGTGACCATCACCGTCACCTTCATCAGCACCGACGTCGACTTTCAATCAAATCCTTATTGACCTTTCATCGTAAAGTGTCACCGTTTGCCATAGAGAAACGTTCAAAGGTTCGTTGGATTTTAAGCCACTGTTATTGTTTTTCGTCGATTCAGGCTGATCCTGACATCCATAAGCCACATTGCCACCATCATTCAAACCACCATGCAATTTCGATCAACAAGTGTTCAGCGACGATTGTGGCCATAGATGACCGACGACGGTGGCCATAGATGACCGATGACAATTAGTAATGGGGATTGAAATCAGATATTTTAATTTTTTAGAGTTTTTTTTATAATTTCATTAAAAGTTTGGGTATTTTTTTTTGTTTTTTAAATAATGTTTTTATTATGAAAAGATTTAAAAAATTTAAAAATATAACGATATGCACCTAAAAATATAACTGAGAAAACATTAGGCACATATTTTTAGCAAAAATTTCTTTTGGCACCAAAACATTTTTTGAGAAATTGTTTAATCATCTATTTTTACTTATTTTTGTCTTAAGCCAAGAAGAAAACTCAAAACTCAAATTTAAATTTAAATTTAAATTATTTCAACTTCATATCAAAATAAATACCTATTATGAAAAGATTTAAAAAATTTAAAAATATAACGATATGCACCTAAAATATAACTGAGAAAACATTAGGCACATATTTTTAGCAAAAATTTCTTTTGGCACCAAAACATTTTTTGAGAAATTGTTAATCATCTATTTTTACTTATTTTTGTCTTAAGCCAAGAAGAAAACTCAAAACTCAAATTTAAATTTAAATTTAAATTATTTCAACTTCATATCAAAATAAATACCAAGAATTAATTTTGCTCATATTTTGAATACCCAAAAATTCTACCCACTATTGCGATAAATGCTCCATTGATTTGCAGGGAGTAAGAATGAAAACAAATTGCAGTCATGAACAATCCATTGATATGCAAGGGATGGAGGAAGGGGACGAAAGAGCGAGGGAGAAGACGGGAGGTTCAAAAATATTTTTCTATTTTTTAAATAAAATTTTTAGAAAAATATAACGGTAACACGTGTAAAAAAATGGTTGAATTTAATTGTCGTCACAATGTAAGTACTTAAAATTGTAACAAGAAAATGTTAGACACTTATTTTTAACGAAAAATATATAGGCACCTAAAGTTAACAAAGTGTATAGTTTACACATTTAATTTTTATTGAACCTCGTATATGTTTTTTTAAACTCGAGTCGATCTTCATTTTATTTTTTTGGAAAGAATTGTATCAAAACATCACAGCTCAGCCTTGCCGATAGGCATTGCTTTCCAATTGCAGGATCGATGAAACTTTGTTGGGAGGTTGTTAACGTTACGCAGTTCGTTCGTCCTGGTACCGATAGCTTTGCCAGTCTATCTGCTACCGTGTTGCTACTTCTAGAAATGTGGTTATTGAAACATGCAATTCCTTCCTAAGAATGCCTGTGATGTGGTCCAAGAGTGTGAAAGAAACTAGGTTGGAGCTTTGATACGTCTAGATTGCTTGTTTCGAGCTTTCAGGTCGAGTTCAACTTTGAACTTTTCGAATTGAGTTAAATTCAATTTTAAACTTTTTGAATCGAATCGAGCTTAATAATATCAAACTTGGCTCGTCTTGTTTACACTTTTATGTATGTGTGTGTGACAAATAACTAAAAAATAGGATCATGGTCCAATAACTTGGTCATGATGGATAGATAACACTCTACAATGCCTAGCAAAATAACAAAATCACTAACCATGCTCAAAAACACAGATGATGAGTTAACAACTTATTTCCTAGAAGTAAGATATTATATGGTTAACAAACACAGGTTTAGCACAATTTAATGAACGCAATAAACAATTTCAAGGGACTATTTATTCATTGACTGTGTCTTTGCTAGGGAGTTGTGGGACCTTCCTGGGACTGTAAGCTAGCGTGGGTCCTAAATCATCTTAAGAGAAAATCCCTACTTATTGTGGTTCTAAAAATTGCTTGGGGCAGTCACATTTATAGTGTTTAGGTGGAGGGTAATTGCAGGCATTGTAGAGATTATTAAACTAAATTAAAATTAAGACTAAATTATTGAATGTTTAAGTATTGAGGATAAAAAATGTAATTATACTACTTCTGTTAAACGTCATGTAAGCACTTCGGTTAAATGATAACGACGAGTGACTATATTGAAATCAATTAAATAGTTAAGTGGTCATATTGATAAAATTTTGAAAATAGTGATCGTATTGGCACCAATCCCATAGTTAGATGGTCATTTAAGTAATTTACCCTTTAAGAAAACAAAATTGCAAAACTGAACCTGACGTGAATCGAACACGCAACCTTCTGATCTGGAGTCAGACGCGCTACCATTGCGCCACAGATCCAACGTTGAAAATGCCTACTTATAAATATAAATAAACCTTAACTTTCTTTTCAAAGGTGTGAGCAACAAGTAAACCATAGCCTAGCCAATAAGGTCCACCACTAGGACCCAGATCAGAGCCTCCACCCCAAGGCCAACAAGAAGATATGAGAGAAGGGGTATGGAATATATATCCCCATAAAAATAGTTAGAATAAAGCAATATAAGATAAAATATGTATAAGTGTGGTTTGATTTTATTTATCTTCAGAATCATATTCTACTATGAATGTAGAGATCATGAATGATATAAATACATGATATCACATATATTCTAAAATATGGTATCTATACTAAAATTCGGAGTATCCCATAAAACTTTTTCAATATCTCTACAAAATCATGTTTTGAATAAAATATCCTTACAAAACTCATTTATACAACATAAATATAATTTTTAACAACGGAGATCATTTGGTTTTAATCAAAATTAGAATTAAATTATTACAAATGTAAATAACAAGTAGCAAGTGTTTTATTATATAAATTTATTTAATTGTCACCTTAGTAACTTCATTAATAGTTAATGGTTGATGATTCGATTAAAATCATATTAAAAATTAGGCAATCACATTTAGATGATTGACCAAATTATTCATCTTTATTCTTTTATATTTTCTTAGTTCATTATACAAGTCAAAATTATGTGATGTTATATAATTTTTAATTTGTAAAATGCCAATCGAGTTTGAAAATATATATTTTATGAATTATTCAGATTTCTCATAACATATAATATTAGTTAAGTCAAATCCAATATCCATTCCTGGAATTCTGAATGCTAAATGATAATTCCTTCAGTTTAAAAATCAATTAATAATCAAATATATATTATGGTTTGGGTCCAAGATTCAATAGCACTTGTGGCCTAATGGATAGGGCGTCTGACTTCTAATCAGTCGATTGTCGGTTTGAGTCCCACCAGGTGTGTAAACATTTTGGATAAATTTTTATTTTGGACCATCCTACATACTATGCTCACTAGGGGTGTATTCTTTCGGTTTGGTTGATTCGGTTTGATTTTTACTAAAAATTGAATTAAATCGAAATAAATGGTTTTTTAAAATTTAAACTGAAATCGAATGATTAAAAAATTGAATTATGTGAAATCAATTTTTTTGTTCGGTTCGATTTATCGGTTTTCAATGAAAAATTCACTTGAAATTATAAATTCAAAAAAAATTGTCTATTCGGTTCAATATGAAACAAGTGGATTCCATATGGAAAACCCGAACCGAACTGAATCAATAGAATTGATTCTTTAAATCAACTTGAAATCGAACCATTTAAAGGTAAATCCGAACCGAATCATTTTACTCGGTTCGTGTCGGTTTTTTTATTTTCTCGATTTCGTTAATCAACCCTAATGCTCATCAGCTGTACAATGTTTTTGTTTGGGGTCAAACTCTCATTTTGATCCATCAACAATCATTAAATTTAAGATTCAGTCCCTACTTTGGTCCATGTACGTCAATCCTTGTAGTTAAAATACTAAAACAACCATAGGTGGCCACTGGCCAGGAATAGATCAAAAAGGACGCTGAATATGATCTCCTGAGAATTTTAAATTAATATATATTTTATTTATATTTTCAATTAATTAATTATTTTCATCGCTTAAAATTTTATAAATTTATCCTATCAATAAATCTTGCATATGTGTAGGTGGCCATCAAATGGATTAAATGCTTAAAGTTTTTGCACTTTGATGTAAGATTTGAGATTGAATCAAAATTCGGCTTTATAGGGAGTAGTCCATAAGAAAGTGTAATTATTTAATTTTTTTTATTTTCATTACCAACAATAAATATATCTTTATCTAACTTATCATTTTTGACACTCTTTCATAAGAAAATTTATACAATTATTTTCATTTTAAATTATCATAAATATTTTAAAAATAAATAATCTAATAATATTAATTTTTAATAATAACCAAACAATATATTAGCTAATCATGCATTAAATGACAATAATTAAACATTGTTTAAAAAATAATATTTATTAAGAATCTTTCACACACCCTTTAGAAGCAAATACTTAAATTCAGATATTTAAAAAGAATACCACTTTATTTAACCATTAAGATTATTCAATAAATTCATAATCAAACCTTTTAAAATAAGTAAATTACACGGTGAGCAACAACCTGTAGCGTGATGCTTGATGATTTTGGTACACAAAAAGTCACAAGAACTTAACCGGCTATGTGTTCAAATCTATGACACACAAAAATCAAAGAAGCCCATTTTTTTATTCAAGGGATTTGATTTATGTATGAAATGGTGGAATGTTGTGATTGCCTAGAGTACAGGATGAACTGCAGAAACAAATGACGATTGACATCCATGGAGGTTGAGATTGAGTTGGTGAATGATTGCACGCTTCTTTCTCCTGCTCACTGGTGAGGATCATCCAACATGTCATCTTTCAAGAAATTTAATTCGTTTCCCCATGATTCATTTTACCACACCTGCCTTCTACCTACCTTTACCACATGATCACCTAACCTCCCCCCTTTAAATCAACTCGTCTTTGCAATAATTTTCATGCTAAATCCAACCCAATAGTGATTATGAATTGTGCTTACGAGATTTTATCTTTCGACTCAAAAAATGATAAAGTACACAAATGGTCCATTGATTATAACATAGTACTTTATTGAGTCCATCGATTATAAAAAGTAATAAAATGGTCCATTGACTATAAGGTGTTGAGTCCATTGACTATTAAAAGTTACAAAATGGTCACCTGACTATTCATTATGTTCCAAACTCGGCCTTTTTGTTAACATGCTGACTGAGATATGATAAAATGTGACATCATAATCTCAAACGACTATCATATCTCAGTCAGCATGTTAACTTCCAACTCAAAAGACCGTTAATTTTTTCAAGGAAAAAAGACTAGTTTGGATCATAATGAATAGTCATATGACCATTTTGTAACTTTTAATAGTCGAGAGACTCAACAAAGCAACACCCTATAATCGAGGACTATTTTGCGACTTTTAATAGTCAGGGGACTAAAAAAAGAAGTACAATATAGTTAGGAGACTATTTGTGAACTTTACCAAAAAATTTAGTAGGTTGAAATTGAGGGGTATATTATCCATATTTAAGGAGTGATTGTAGAGTGTAGTTGTTATATGATAATTTTATTATTCTTCTACTCTTATAAAAGGATAATTCATCTCCCTAATTGGAACAAATAATTGATAGTTCCATTTCATTCTTCTTGTAAATTTTTTGTTGAAAAAAATAACAATACAAGGCGTCCTCACTTTATGTGTATATTGTTTGAAAGATTGTATTAACATCGGATGACGATATCTATTATTAGAATTACATCAATCTAGACAAAAGTTAATGTTTGAAAGATTAATAAAACTTATATGAAAAATAATCAGAAAATAACACGCCCCGGCCAAAATTAGTAAAGAATAAATCATCTTTTAAAAAAAACTGAGTATACAATTAATAAAAATACTACCTATGTAACTTCAGGGTACTCCCTGTTTTAGGGGATGGAAAGGGGGGCTAAAAGAATAGTGGGAAGGAATCCTTAACTGGGTTCTCCCTGTTTTTAGGGTTAATGCTATCCTTTAAGTAAAGTGGGTTCCCCATATATTTATTCGGATGGAGGGGATGGGTAAAGGCGATCGTCCCTTAAAATATTTAGTTTTTTATATTTTTTATTTAAAATTTATTTTTGTCTCTTAAAGTTTACAAGTTCATCTATTTTTAAAATTTTATAAATTCGTCCCCCAACATAGGATCTTATATTTGTCCGTGTATCACTTTGTCTTCAAACCAAAACAGGTTTGTGGGTTCCATTTCCATTTAAAAAAATAACATAAAAAACAGGGTCTTAATTTCTGATTTAAGCGAGAAAACCCCCATTTTTTATTTAAAATATTTAAAAGAAAATTACTAAGTGGTCCCTAGAAAAATCAAATTTAATTGAGTTGAGTTAACCATACAAGCAACTTGCCAATACTAGCCATATCTCTGCTTCAGTTCCACTGTTGATTTGATATGCTTGTTCATTTCTTTCATGTACCCATACTGAAGTTATTTTAATTCCTTTCTAAAATTATATTTAAAATTATATATTATTTTCCGAATCGTTTTTTTAATTCCCCTCTATGCAGGATTTCTAGGGTAATCTCTTAGATTTCATGATAGGGATGTGCTTTGACTCTTTAATTTTTCATTGCATTTACATTTTCTACATTATTATATACGAATTATTATCTTATATACATGGTGATAAAATTTATATAATTTTTAAAAATTCATATAATTTAATAAAAGTATATTCAGATCTGATTGTTTTAGAGTGAGTCCTTGTTTTACTAAAAGAAGAGGAAGCAAGTCTTCGCCTACTAACTTGCCTTTCATATGGATAAATCCAGAACTGCCCTAAATTATTAGGCAAGATTTGGATTGCCATAAGGTATGCCTTAGTTTTGTTGGCAAAATTAGGGAAGCTTGATCATGAATTTTAGCTGGCATTCACATGTGAAGAAACGCTTCTATTTGTAAAGATCAATCTCATCTATTGCATTTATGCCAATGCTTATCCATTTCGATACACAAAAACAATGACATGTATTAAGATTTCAATTAGATATGTCCAAAACTCTTATATGGCTTGAGTTTACGATAAATCTGAATTAATCTGATATCATTTAAATCAATGTTTAATTATAATTTTTTTTAGAATAGTCTGAGATGTATAAGATAGTATATATTCAGAATTTTCAATTATGAGGTATATAAATATTAATATAAGTTGTTTTTTATATTTTTTAATATTATTAGAGATAATGATTTTATTTCCAAAGAGGAAAATTGAAAGAACTTTTCTAAAGCTGAAAGAGTAATAAAATGTCATCAATGGTTACATAATTCAAGTGCTATTAATGTATTTTTTTTCAAACAAAATGAAATAGATAATCCATTTAAAAAATAAACTTATTAAAAATAAGTTCCAATTTTGACGTTTCCTAAAACATACCATGCTCTTGAAATATATATATGAAATTTATTGACGGTACATAGAATTATATATCATGAATGTATCAAATATTAATTATAAATATTGATTTTTAACTATAATAATTTTAAGGGTAAAGTATAGTAATGGTCACTGAACATTTCTGAAGCTTGCATTTAGGTCCCCCAACATTTAAAACTTGCAATACAGTCCCCCAACATTTATTCCGTTTGCAATATGGTCCCCCAACTTAAACTACAGTTAGAAAATTAGGATAAATTATATAAACGGTCATTGAACTTTTCAGTCACTTGAATTTAGGTCCCTCAACTTTTAAAACTTGCAAAACAGTCATCATTTCATTCTAAACCCAATTTCCAAGTAATTCATTTTATTCTAAACCATAAATTCTAACTTCAATTAATTCTAAATACTTCAATTTAAGGTAATATAGCTTGAAGAAGAGTTCAAGGCACAGACACAACGATAAAATATATTTATATAAATGTATATTTATATTTAGATGTAAATAAAAATATATTCTTATATTAATGTATGAATCATTTATATTTTTTGAATATTTTTTTTTAATAAGAAATTAAAATTATTAATTATATAGAAATACTCAACTTAAGATTATATATATAATCATGAATTATAAATAAAAAATATAATTATTATTTTAGTTTAAAAATATATAATCTTAAATTTATTCTTTAAAATATTGTATCAACTAATATTTAAAAAAATATAAATCTATCAAACAATTTATCAAATATAATATTTTTTTTATTGTAAAAAATATAATATTTTCCCATCATTTATTGCTTTCAAATTTTTTGCCGAAGTTCAAATCTCATTATTTCCATTTTACATTATATTCTTTTTTTTCTGGCATTGGTCATACTATTAGTATATGTATTATGTATATCTCTTAACACAACGATGGTGTTAGCTTAGTGACTCCACCCTGTATCTTTCATTTGCGTGACTCAGGTTTGAGTTTGCCCAAGACCCAAATTTTACTTCTTTGTAACTTAATTTTTCTTCTAATTAGGAGGTGACATGTGTCACCAATACACATATCATGATCATGTGTTAACACATGTCAGATCCTGAAATGATTAATTTATTAAATTTTATTTAATTTAGGACCAAATATATAAATTAGGTGGTAACACGTGTCACCAATGACACGTGTCATGATCAGTGCTAACACATGTCAGATCCTAATTAAATGATTAATGTAAATTTTATTAATTTAGGACCAAATTGATATAAATAATAAAGACTGAATGTATAATAATGCCAATTCCTTTTACTGCCACATCATCATTTTTATCAATTGGTAACGACTAGTGGCTTAGTTGAAACAGTTAAATATTATGTGGTATGATTGAAATTTAAAAGATCGATGACAAAAGTAAAAAGGGTTAGATAGTTAAATTGTCAACCGAGTAGTTTACACTTTTATTTATACGTCAAAATAACGTTTTATAAATTTAAAAATCGAATTATTTTCAACATCTTCTATATCCTAACTACTTTTTTTAATTAAAAAATTTCTTCAACATATAAGAATTATACTATTATATTTATATAAAAAAATATGTATCACATGAAATAAGATAAAATTAAATAATAAAATTGACATAATTGAATTTAATTTAAGTATTTTGGAATTTAGGGTTTAGAATAAAATTGAATTACTTTGGAAATTGGGGTTTAGAATGAAATTGATGACTGTTTTGCAAGTTTTAAAAGTTAGGGGACCTAAATTCAAGTGACTGAAAAGTTCAATGACCATTTATATAATTTATCCTAATTTTCTAACTGTGGTTTAAGTTGGGGGACCATATTGCAAATGAAATAAATGTTGGGGGACTGTATTGCAAGTTTTAAATGTTGGGGACCTAAATGCAAGCTTCAGAAATGTTCAGTGACCATTACTATACTTTACCCTTAAATTAATAATGATATTGACATATCACATAAGGTAATGTCATATTGCCAATTAAAAAATACTATATCAGCATTTCTATTTATTTTTTAATTGACTATTATCAAACTGTAACATTAGATATAATTTAAAAAAAATAAATTACTAAAACTAAATTACAAAATTAAATAGGTGACTAAACCCATAGTTATTATTTATTTATATTTCATTAAACAATGAAAATGGCACATTAGCAATCATCCTTTCCCCTATGTAGGAAACAAAATCATTGCTCCCAATCTGAGCTTCTAAGATATTCCCTTCCATTTCTCCTTTTTTTTCTCTCTCAATTTCTTCGTCACCATCTCCATGAGTTCATCATCATCTCCAGTTATATAATAATATAAACCCTTTTCTTCTCCACAAACCCACCATTTCAATGGATCCATCTTCAACAAGCTCCGTCAATGAATTCTACACTTTCCTCACTCGTGGCTTAGATGATCTGGAAAGGGTCTATCTCTCTAATTCCTTTATGTCAATCCAATTCCTCCAAAGGGTCCTTTCCCTCCTCAGATCTTTCCATTCCCAGCTACTCCTCCTTGTTCAAAAGCTCCATCTCCCCGTCGGCGACAAGTGGCTCGATGAATACATGGACGAAAGCTCCAAGCTTTGGGAAGCTTGTCATGTTCTTAAATCAGGGGTTTCCGGGATGGAAAATTACTACTCTTCTGGGTTCAACATCATTTCTTCTCTCGATAATCATACACACCTTAACCCACATCTTTCCAGACAGGTAAACTGCTTAAACAGTAAAGAATTATACCCATTTTTTTTTGTAGTTTCATTGAGATACGTGGGAAACAGGTGATCGGGGCGATTTCGAGATGCAGGAGAGAAGCAATGGGATTGGAGGAAGAAAACAGGGCGTTCATGGAGACGAGAATCCAACCACTCTCGTTGAAATTCGACGAGAGAGTTTGCATGGAATCGAAGCTGAATGGATTCAATGGGTTCAGAGGAGTTCTATACGCAATGAGGAACGTGAGCTCATTGCTGCTGGTGATATTACTCAACGGGGTGGTCCAATCTTGTTGTTGGGAAGAATCAATCTTGTTAAGAGAGGAGAACGAAGGGTGTTTTTTATTCGGGTCGAGTTTCATGATATCGACGACGAGGTTGCGGCGGAGATTGGCGGAGGAAATGAATGGGAAAGGCGGAGGGATATTGATGTACGAGTTCAGAAGATCAAAGATGGGAATGGAAGAGGTGAGGGGGGAGCTGGAGAGGAGAGTTAGTGGAGTGGTGGAGTGGGAAACGGAGGTGGGGTTGAAGGAGAAAGTGGAGAACTTGAAAGGTTGTTTTGGGGTATTGGGAAGTGGGATTGACAACATTGTAGCCCAACTTGATGATTTCTTTGACGACATTGTTGAAGGGAGGAAGAAGCTTTTGGACTTTTGCACTCACAGGTAGACTACATATTTGGGGAATTAAAAATGGCATATTCTGGAATTCTAATTTTATTTTATTCATCATATTTATTTTGAAATTTTATTTGTATTTACCTCTTTATAAAATTTTATATTATTAATATATGTATATTCTTTCTAAAAAATATTTCTGAATCTCCTACTCATATAAGTTTATTTTTATCTTTATGCATATAACATACATAGTATATGCAGGGGAGCAAAACAGAGTAACTTGGCTACAAAAATCTTGAAAATAAAACAGAGTAACTTGGCTACAAAAATCTTGAAAATAGCAGTAAATTTCATACAGGGCTTCTTCTAATGTTTTACTTTTTGGATAAATTATGTATTTAATACCTAAATTATTAATTTTGATCCATTTCAGTATTTAAACTTTTAATTTTTCAAAATCATACCTAAAATTTATTTTTTGTTTCATTTTAGCATTAGGTTTTGAAAAAAAAAGGAAAGTCTAGGTACCAATAAACGTTTAGTAACTAAATCATACTTAAATTTTGAATTTTTTTTAAAAAATTTAGATAATAAAACAGATCAAAATTGATAGTTTGAATACTAAACGCGTTAAATTTGTAACGACATGTATTAAAATGAAAAAAAAAATGAACTTAAGTTGTGGTTTTCCTTTTTATCCGAAGTCTTTAGATTCGGATGCTCACAAAATGTTTCAGTTAAACTAGTTCGGATTTCATTTTAGAGTAATTTTTTAAAAGTATATTTTTAACTTATAACATTCAAATTTAAGAACTCATTTAAAAGAATTATCATACAACCTTAAACATATTTTTTTATAAAAATTTTCTAATACATAGAATGGGTACATTTTAATATACATAAGCTTATTTATTTTAATATCATATATCTTATTTAAGGGTTAAAGTCTTAAAATTTAAGATTTAAAGTTTGAAATTTAAAGTTTTAAAATTTTAATTTTATGATTCAAATAATCAAAGTAATAACTTATGTATAAAAAATACTGATTTTTAATTTTATGGGTCGAATTGAATTAGATTTTTGACCAATCTAACTTGACCAAAAAAGCATATGTATCTCCTTCATTCAAACAAACCCAAAATTTTATATGAATTTTAGAATAATACTAACATTAAACTCAAACAAATATAAATATAAAAAAATATTTTCATTCAATAAAATAGATATCTAATTGAAAAAAAATATGGAAAGATAATAGTAATTATCTCTAGGCATAATGCTAAACATAACCCCCCCAATGTTTGCTAAAATGCTTATTTTGGTCCCTATTCTTTTTTTTTGAAACATTTTACCCCCAACGTTTCACTTTGGTCGAAAAAAACTCTTTCTATAAATGAAAACCATTAGTACGCACGATTAATGCTCCAAAACAAGAAATTTTTAAACTAAAGGAGAGAGTCACTTTCTCAAACACATTGAATTGTGAATCTCATGCTTTTTGTCCCCCCCGCCGGAAACTCATGCCTTGCCTCCTTCCAAGGGTGTTTTCCTGAAATAAAAACAGATTGAAAGCATAATGTTTGGAGGAACCTATAAATTATTATATGGCAGTCATAAAATCAAAGCAACAGGCAGTAACAGCGTAAAGAATATCATTTTGTTTCCTCCTCACTATAAGCAGACATTGACAACAATAATTATAAAACACACACACAAATGATCCTTGTAACAACAGCAACTATTCGGTAGTTTTCTCCAAAAATCACCTTGAAAATTATTATTTACTAAGTGTTACATTTTCACCAATATTTATCAAAATATCATCCTTTTGTACTATGTGATAATAAGATGCATTTTATAGAACGTGTTTTACACGTGGTATCCCACTCTACAAAGACACATTCTACAAAACGCACCTTACACATACGTGATAAAGTCGCTTTCTACAAAAAGAATCTTATGTTAATTTGACAGCACACATGAAAAGTACATTTAATATAATACAATTTTAAATTAAAAAAATAAAACTATAGAGACCAAAGATGTAATTTAATACATCTTGACTCCATGAGTTAAAAACCTAATGAGGTTTAGTTTATATAGGCATAAGTGGAGTGCATGCTTTGTTTGTTAACAATGTGAGATAAAGAACAAAAGAGTAATTCTTTTAACTTTTTTTCATATTATTTTTATTTTTTACATTTACAATATATCATGATAAGTCTGCTTGTACACTATTGTATATAAATTTTATTATTAAAATATATATAAATTAAAATAAAAAATTTTAATATTCTAAAATATTAAACAGTTAATCTTATAAATTACAAAATAATTTTTATTAAAAAATTGTAATTTATAAGATAATGAGGGCAAAATGGAAGTGGTGGAATCGTATGTCGAAAGAAAAACTTTTTGAGATAGTGGTCAACGTCTTTCTCTTTGTCTTCAGCTTGATTGAATTGATACTAATGAGCAATGACAAAACTATTTCGGTTTCTTTATCAGTTATGTCAGTCATATCTGGTATGGTATTCTTCGTCCTTCAATTCGTCAGGGAGACTCCGTCTTCACATGTTCAGTGTGGAGGGCATCTATTCCAATTGTGAAGGTAGTCGAATTAATGAAGATCCAGTGAAGACTGTCGTGTGCAGGTGTGCCACTGCCATTCAATGAAATTTTCTTGCATCATTCATTTGTAATAATGAGCAATGACAAAACTATTTCGGTTTCTTTATCAGTTATGTCAGTCATATCTGGTATGGTATTCTTCGTCCTTCAATTCGTCAGGGAGACTCCGTCTTCACATGTTCAGTGTGGAGGGCATCTATTCCAATTGTGAAGGTAGTCGAATTAATGAAGATCCAGTGAAGACTGTCGTGTGCAGGTGTGCCACTGCCATTCAATGAAATTTTCTTGCATCATTCATTTGTAATAAGGCATTAGTTTGCTTATTTCCTTTGTAAGAACTAAAAATGTGTTTGGTCCTGATAAATACTGAAAGACATTAACTTTATATTTTACTTGAATTTTATAATTGTGACTATAAATACACATAACTGTTAACCAATTAGTATATGCTATCTATTATATTGTTGTGCTGGCGTGCTAATTGGTTAATTATGCTCACTGCTAATATGGGTTACATACTTTTTTTTTGGAAAAAAAAATGAAGCAAGAGTGTAGCATCATTGCCATGGGTTACTTCCCATTTTCTGAAATTACAAACTTCAATCAGAATAAACAAATGACATTCAAAGCCCACCTCTTTCAGATGAAGAATAGGACCAATCGTCGGTTTAACATGTCTTCTACGACTCATCTAATTGGTCCTGCATGACAATGAACATCACACCGAGTTAGGCATGGGCCAATACATGTGTCAGAATCCCCTTTAACATGGAGTTCGTGTGTGCAAATGAGAAGGGTTAACACGGGTTCATGTGAGCAAGTGAGGGTGTTGTGGTTTAGGGGGAATTCACCAATATATCAGCAGAATAATTAGAATTAGAAAACAAGTAGAAATTTAAAACTCCATAAAACTAATTTCTCTATGTTAATTCTTGGCTTTCTTTCAAGTAAAGTTAATTATTGGCTTTCTTGCAAGTAAAGTTACTTTGTTTTCATGCAAATAAAACTCTATTCCTAGCCTTAGATTTAAACCCTGAAACTAACTAATAATCTTTGACCAGACCAAATATAGAATAGCCTAAAGAAACCAGAAATATCCTGCATCAGAAGGGAAGGGGGAGGGGAGGGAAATGACCTGCACTAATGACCTAATTTGTAGGTCATACTTTAAGGAACACATTATTTGTCCATGAAGGGCCGGGACAAATAAGAATCTGGCCATACTTTAGGGGGCTAATTTGTCTATTAATCCTTCTATCAATATCTAGAAACTTCTTGTTTTAGAGTCGTTAAAAAACTCTGTAAAAGAAGATAAAGTTATTTTTGAGTACCGTAGACAAATTACGGTAGTATCTAAATCTCACACCGCTGCCGGCAACCGCCGTTTATTTTTACATATCGCGTCTGTACGTCGACGATGATAGTCGACTGGGACGATCATCCTGAAGAAGCACAAAAGGCGGAGCAAGATTATAATCTCAATTTCGACCTTCTTTCTCTTGTTTCCAAGCCCAAGGTAAATCCAATTCCTAGGGTTAAAAAAGAAGAGAAATTTTAGAAATATGCATGTGTTCTGAATCGGTTGTTTAAATGCAGGATTATTATAAGATATTGGAGGTTGATTACGATGCTACGGAGGATGCTATTCGCTCCAATTATATACGCCTTGCACTGGTTCGTTTTTTTTTTCTTTTCTCAAAAGCTAAATTGATTTCTTTATATATATTTCTTCTTTGTTATTGAATAGTATGGGATTGTTTCTGCAGAAATGGCATCCGGATAAGCAAAATTGATTTCCTTATATATATTTCTTCTTTGTTATTGAATAGTATGGGATTGTTTCTGCAGAAATGGCATCCGGATAAGCAAAATTGATTTCTTTATATATATTTCTTCTTTGTTATTGAATAGTATGGGATTGTTTCTGCAGAAATGGCATCCGGATAAGCAAAAGGACGATGAGAATAACGCCACTTCAAGATTTCAAGAGATAAACGAGGCTTATCAGGGTAACCATCTTACTTTCCCTGTCATTTCTTCTTTTCTGTTTAGGTGTTCGCTTTCTTTCTTATTAAATTTATGATTCCTTTGATTTTTTCTGTATACATGGGTTTTCTGTATTCGTTTCATTATTCTGATGTTGGGTATTTTTCGTTAAATCTTTTGTGTAAGGGAACCATTAAGTTTATGCTATATATCTTCCATAATCAGCATATTATTATTTTTTTCTTGCAAAGATTCTGTCTACTTTTAACTCTCTTTTGTTGATATGTTCATCATTTAGTACAGTTCCAGTAATTTGGAAAATATAATTATCCCAAAACAAAACGGTTGAGGATGATAAGCAACATTAGCATCAGAGCAAAGAGAACTTTGGGCCGGTATAAGATAATTGCAATTCATAAGGTGTTGCATCTAGTTAATTTTATATGCTCTTGATTGTTCTTCGCTTATCAGTTATGATTTCATGGTCTATCCTTAATATGGATTTATTTGAAAGATAATTGTTGGACTTGGTGGCAAATATCTTCATGATCCCTCTTTAGTTTCTGGTAACCCATTTTCTTTATTTCTTAGCATTTCAACAAGGATGCATAATTTACTCTTATAAAAACCATCTTACTAAAGGTGAACTGTAGTGGTTTAAAATGTCATTTATAACAGTTATTTATGAAAATATGTTGGGTTTAAAGTTGCCACACTGTTAATGCCATGCGTTGCTATTTCTTAATGACCTGGTAGGCATGTGACACTAGAGGGAAGACTGAAAATTGTGCATGGTTGAGTTAATAGCTTGCAAATCTATGATCATGTTCTGTCTACCGGCATGAATTGGTGAATTGAGTTTATATGCTTAATGATAGTTGAAGACTTGAAGTTATAGTTGAACTGCTAACATTTGGTTTTAAAAAAGAGTACCAAGTATATTGATATGCATGTGCATATGAATTTGAAATTAACCATTAGCTGTTTTGGCTTCTTTTAACAGTTCTAATTGATCCAGTCAAAAGGAGTGAATATGACATGAAGGGGATGTCGTATGCATATGACTATGACATAATTGTAAGAATTTCTTACGTCATACTTCGAAGTATGTATATATACTTTTATGCGTCTGGATGGATTAGATTTTAAGTTTTAATTGACTGGCTGCAGGAGTACCTTAACCGTTATAAAGGCCTTATATTAACATGTAATGGTCTTGGGGTTAGGCAATCGATTTGGTAAGCCCTGATAGGAGGAACCGAGGTCCTTTCTGTTTATTGTCACAATGCTCAAACTTAGAGAAACACAGATTTGTTGATGCTACAAGTGGTGCAGTTGAGGATGAGAACAAGCTTTGATGTATTACAAGGTTATGTTATATAACGGTTGTGAATATGCAGTAGAGAAATTCACGTAATCTGTAACATCTTGTGCTTGTCCGCCTTATGATGGTATGACCAGTCGTCAAATGCATGCTTGCAGCTTGTTAATTTTGTAGCATTGTAGGCATTATTTACTCTTTAGGTAGGACCTTAGGAGCAAATATTTATGAAACCAGTTCACTATTACTAGCTAGTTAATGCGATGGCCAGCACTTTTTCTATTTTACTTGGTAACTTATTAGCTCAAGCCTAGTGAGTGGAGTTTACTTAATTCAAGTGAGAAGTAACTTGTTAGCTTAAACTAACCCAATATAGAAATGTTGTTGATATTTACGTACTTAATAGCATACCCAATGTTTATTGACATGAATTAGAATTGATCTCAAGACATGTATTGGGAAATTGATGATTATAAATAGAATTGAATGGGACAAATTCTGTATTATTCAGACAATTATACTGAATCATATGCAGGAACTATTGCTAGCTAGTTAATGGGTTGGCCGGTGCTGTTTCTCTTTTACTTGTCTTGGTAACTTGTTAGTTCAGACATTAGTATTAATCCTAATCTAGTGGGTGGCTCAAGTTTACCGATTCTAGCGAGAGCTAATGTGTAGACATATATGGTAGAATCGTAATCTATGATTACCCGAATCAAAATGTATACATTGGTCTCGGTATACTAGGAGGATGGTGAGAAACAGATTTTACATCCCAAAGGAGCTATAATTGGGGATATTATTTCCAGTACAAAAGTTCTTATAAAAATGATGAGAAATCCCTTGCCTTTGAGTGCAGTTTGAGCTATTAATTTACTAAATCGGAAGTATTTGATTTTACTGTGATGCTTTTTATCGAGGCAAGATAATAACGAAAATCATTTAGTATCCAATGAAATTTTAAAATTCAGAAGGGATAAATTTAATGAAATAAAGAGAGGATCTTTTACTAACTAACCTTACGTTTTGTTTTGTTTTATTCACTCGTTAATTGTTTAATGATATGAAATTTTGCTTTCAAGTAAGATTTTTGAATCATAGAGAAGAAAAAGAGAGCCGAGGACACCTAAATGTGCAACAGTTCTGAGGACCATAATTTATGAAAAGAAAAGCTATAAAGAAAGAAAGAATAATAAACTAACATGCATGCAGTGTTCTTGGAGTGAGGGTTTCCAAGGCCAAGAAGAAAGCAATGCAGAAATTATTAAGAGAAGGAGGAGAATGAAAAGCAATTTCGAAAGGACGAGTCACTAACTGTGAGACTGAAGTTGCAATGAATATAAGATTTTTAGAATTTTCTACTCTTAAAATTTTATAAATTTATCTTTAACTTTTTACTTCTTAAATTTTTATAAATTCATCTTCAATTTAAATTCTTACGTGTTTCTCTGATTCAATCAAACTTGTCACATTTGACCGAATCAAGTGTCGATGTGTCCTGACATGCTTGTTGAAGTGAAATGTAAAATTCCCACTGATGAAGGGCTGGCTCACCGGCAGTGGTTGGAGGAATTGCAGGTGTTGCATCGTTGTCCATCGCCATGCTAGATTGAAATGAAAATGGTAAAGTTGTCTCTCATTCCCAAATCCATCTGCATATGTTGAAACTAGTCAGCAAATATTTGCAAGTTAAACAGGCAAATAATTGCCTGTCGGAACAAGCATGGTTAGAATCAAAATCTAATTGATGAAATTAAGAATCCAATATGTATTATATCAAATCATTAAGAATAAAATACTGAATGCGGAAGAACATCTAAATTAATTGATATGTTGAAATCTTTGAATTATTTATTTATTGTGATCTTCCAAGAATATAGATTTTCTCTTACCGTAAAAACTTTCTGACATGGATAAGAATAAACACAAGCTAATTTATTTCTTGGGGACTATTGACTCTTTATATATATTGAATATTAGGTTACTATTTTAAGTAATAATTTAGTTTATCCTCAAATTATAAATACAACTTATGATATCTACACTTTAATTTTATGACACTTGAATACCTATGACATATGTAACATAATTGGTCACATAATTTTATGTCGTATTTTATGATAACATTATATGTAACATTTTTTTTTGTATCATTCATGACTAGACCTACATATACAAACACAGTCAAATGACAGGTTAGTCATGAAGTGTAGCATGGAAACTACATGCAATGTGAACCAAATGTATCTATTTTCAATTAGTCATCTTTAAACATTATTGAGATCAAATTTTACCAAAACTAGAGTGTGAACAAACAAAAACAAATTTGATTTCTACATAAAATAACTTTAAAATAAATGTTCTTAAATTAAGTTAGCTGAAATTGTGTCTATAAAAAACGAGCATTAAAATTACGAACTCCACCTATAACTAAATATCCTTAAATAATATTATACGCACATAAGTAGTGTCCTCATGAAAGACCTAGGATGACAATCCCTTAGTAAGCGCGCAACAATGGGTTTATACTAATGTGCTCTATAAACACATAATCACTATTATTTTTTAACAACTAGAAATTTAATGTATATGTACTTAAAATGTAGGGTGTTCCTATTGTAAATAGAATAAAATGCAAATTTATTGTCACAAAACAAATTTAGCCGTTCTTTTATTCAATTCATAATTAGCAGTTAATGTGATAAAATTTTACATCCATATTCCAATAAGTCGAAGTTCATAAACTTATTGATCTCTTGTTGACCTTCGATATGTAAGCATGTAATATTTTGTTCTTATATGTATTGTATGAATCATTTGATTGTTATCCAAAGATATATTCCCAAATTGTTTAAATATCTGCTTAATATCCTAAAATTATACATTATGTTTGAATGCGTATAAATCTGAGTATACATTAAACTCATCAAATTTTTAGTTTCAAAATCATCCTTAGGGAACTGATTAAGACTAAATTTGTTTCATTTGGCAATAAGGGGATTCAATTGGTTTACTCCCATTGAATTTGTAGTATATACAATCGTGAACCAAACTCATCTCAAAATCAAACAAGATAAACACTTAACAAAATTTGTTATACAATTATAGATTTTCTTAATTTGTATATCATTTATTTTGTATCATCAAACACAAATTTCTAATTGCACAATATAAAGCATCTCATCAATGTTACCGTTGAAAAACAAAATCTTGAAATCCAACTTATATAACTCAAGTTCAAATATGAGCAACAAGTATCATGTAACTCAAGACATTGGTAAGAAAAAGAACATATTTATCACTACTTCTTCATTGGGATAAATCCTCTCAAAACTCTTGAGCCTGTTGAGGATGGAAGTGAAACGATAAAACATCATCTTTACGTCTTCATAGGACTTCATCAATCAAACAATCTTGAACTTCTTTACTTGACTAGTTCCTTCATGAGTCACCTCCAACTTGTCTCAATTTTTTTTTTACATTTAAACAAGATAAAACTCAACTATACTTATTCAGTCCAAGTGCACAGAAGAGAATATGCATCACTTTGGCATTTAGTTAAGCTTGCTTCTTATCTTTGTTTGTCCATTCCGACCAATTTCTTGGACAGATGAAAGAACCATCGGTGATGACATCCCAAATCGAATAGTCGGTGGCTTAAATGAACAACACCGTCTTATTCTTTCAATAGGTGTAGTTGGCACCATTGAAGTAGGGATGCCTTGTGATGGAGTAAGAATCCTCGAGGTAGTATGAGCCGAAAGTCAAAGTCATCCTCTTAGTTGAGTCTAGAATTGCTAGAGCTCTTCAAGGATTGTCTCAAGGTTGTTAAACCTTCTAAAGATTCAAGCTTTGATACCAATTGTTAGGATTATTGAGGCTTTAATGATCAACCGAAATAAGCCAAGAAGGGGTTGAATTGGTCTTTAAAAAATTTGTGTATAGAGGAAAGAAAGATAATTTGCACAACAATTTATAATGGTTCAAATTATAAACCAAGTCTACATCCATAGCTACACACTAAGGATTTTCTAACAAATTTAATAATTTTTTTTAGGCTCAAGAGTAACCTTTATAAAATCACATCTTTTCAAAGGCTAAGATAGAACCGCTCAATTTTTTTACAAAAGGATAAAAGAAGTAAACAAGAAAAACCTCACAATATAGGTGTTTACAAGATTTAAGCTCACAATAAAGAATCCCAAAGATTTACAATTGAGCTCAAAACACTTATGTACAAGAGAAAAAGGAAAATAAGTGTGAAAAGGCTTTTCTCGTGATCTTTATATCTTGGATAGGTGTTGTAACATTCTTCAAGTATTCTTGGCTTGTTTTTATATGTTGGAATAAGCTTATGACTGTTTCTAACTGTTGGAGTAAGTTTAGAGCCGTTGGGGACTAAATTTTCTGCAAAATAAAACTATATAGAATAGGAAATATTAGTACTACCATTTATAGGTACTTCGTTTGTTATATTTAAAAATCTAACCGTTATATAACGTCGGGTTAGGATAATATTGATACTAGGGTTTGTTTTATCAATACTACTATGTAAAGTAGTATCCATACTCATAGAGTATCGATATCAATCTTGCATTATGAAATTTGAAAAACTTTGAAAATCATATGTAGTATCGATACTTCTCTTACCTTTGGTATCGATACCAAATAAATAATATTGATACCGTAAGAACATTAACGACACTGTAAGAATAATATCTATACTACTTACCCATAAATTGTTTTATGTTCAATTTTTTGTTTAATGGACTTTAAATATGTTTGAAAATTTTGAGTAAATTCAATAAAGTCCAAAAAAAATTTGTACTTATTTTTTTGTATTAAAATATAGGTTCAACATTTTCTCACAACGTTCGATTTTAGTTTACAGTTATTGATAATCTTTCAATAGTTCGATCCACTATTGTGATTCTACTAGTTTGTTTGTCGATGAAGTCATATATGTTATATTTATCTTTTTTTGAATTTTTTAGATGAGTTTTAGATTTTTTCTTTATATGATTCTTATATAATCTCAAGTGACTGATTTATGTGTTAACGATTATTAGGATATATATATATATATCTTAATTATATGTTCATTGTAATATTGAATATTTTCTTTTTCTTAATAAAATTCGCGTCTTCTATTTCCATAAAAATTTATTGTTAAATTGTTTGTAATTTTTTATTTCTATATGATGTTAAAATAAATAATTAAAATCAATTATCTAGGGATGACAATTTTTTTGTAAAATTAATTTTATGATTTATATATTGGGTTGTGCCTATACTTAAAAAGAGTTCTTGTTTTCTTGTAGTTTTCTCTTCTTGTTTTCCATCGTTGGTAAGTCGTTCATCTATTTTTTTGTCTTTGTTGATCAACGACGCTATTAACTTTAATGTTAGTTGTCAACTGTTGATATTATTTGTCGTCCTTTTATTTTCTATTGTTTTTTATTTTCAATAAAGCTACTTGTATAACACATTTTCATATGTTTTTATGATACGTTTTCTTTTATATTTTGACATGTTTTTACTTTTTAGGCTGTTTGGTCTTTGTTTTCTTTTATTTTTTTCTAAGAGCTAATTAGACATCATCACGATTAATCAAGATGACGCTTATATATTATATTGTTGATATTCTATGCTTTGGACCTTCAGATTATATTTGGTACCCGTTATGCGTTCGTGAATAAATTTTCACGTTGCTCGAGTCTGATTTGTGGATTGTCGGTAGTCTTTCAGTAGTTTAATCTCCTTTTGTGATTTGTTTGTCGATACGATCATATTTATTTGCATCTATCTTTGTTCGAGTTTCTTAGTTAGATTAATGGTCCTTATGTGATCTTAAGTTATTAATTTTATTTAAATGATCATAATAAATTATCTTAATTATATGCTAAATTTACGATTATAATTATAAATATTTATTGTAATTTCTTATAAAAAAAATTATTGTTTTCTTTATATTGCGAATCATTATTTCTTTGTCAATAATTAGTCAAATTATTAGATCGGAAAACCAGGGAATGGAATTAGGTGAACTGTGGGCAATCTTCGGTCCCGGCGTCGCGGGCGCCGTTTTCGGTGCCGGCTGGTGGTTTTGGGTAGACGCCGTCGTGTGTAGCTCCGTCAATGTCCCTTTCCTCCACTATTTACCTGGTACATCGGAATTCCTCCTCTCGCTTTTCCCATAAATTTATCAACTTCTTTTTAATTTTACTTATTTTTTAAAGGAATATTTGCGACTATTGCGGCTTTGATGTTCAATTGTGTTAGAAGAGAGGATATCGATTACTCTCCTTACGATGACGGCGAGTGGAGGTTAGCTGATTCCTTTCTTACCTATTTCGATTGCAGCTGTTTTTGGTTGTTTTTTCTTTCCCGAGAGTTTTCTTTAGATCTGCTCGTTGGAGCTCGATTATACTGTTGTTACTGGATATTGCTAAAATTGTATAGTTTTGCCCTCAATTCGAAAGTTAAGTAATTGCCTAGGGTTTTATTGTTCCTTGTGATGGTGCTAATTAAAATGAGGTTAATTGATGTAATGATTACTTTGAGTTCCGAATTCATAAGCGTCAGGTCTTCGGATTCAATGTAAGCTTAACAATCTTTGCTTAATCACTTCAAAATTTTATTTGTAAATGCAAAGAAATTTGCACCGTGTATTGATGGCATCATGTGAGGATGAGATGTTATATGGGCTAACAATATGCAGTAAGTATGGTTTGTCCAGTTCACCCTCGTGTTTAGTGGTATTTAACGATGTTATCTATTCATCGGCTATCGTAATTAGTGATTAGAATTAGAGATTTAGGGTTTAGGGTTTGCCTTTATGCGGATTAAAGCAATTGGGAATTACTAATGGTGTTTATGCTTTTGATACCCATTGTCTTGTTTTCTTGCTATGCATCTTCTATCATCTGTATGCCTGGTTTTCATATAATTGTATCCATTGGAAGATTGTTTATGTGGCATATTTCTAGTTATTCCGAATGGAATCCACCAACCATTCCTTATTAAATTCGGTTGTGTACTCTTAGTTCTAGATTCTTTTTTTGAGAATCCCAGTAGTCCTTTGATTGCTTGCTTTAGCTTATGAATACTAATCCTTCATTGCAACAGGTTGAAGCTCTGGCTTTTCTTTGCTTATGTTGTATCGTTTGTCTCACTGGCTGCTTCAGTGGGCCTCTTGATACAAGACTCGATAGTGAAATCCGGTCCATCAGTGTGGACTGGTACCGCAGGTGTCTTACAGTGCGTGTTCGTCTTAATCAGGTACATGGCTTTTCTGGGTTTAGAATTGCCACCATCATCCATATCGTATTAGGTTAAATTTTCTATAATTACATCGGGAGATCCATGTTTGTATCTGTATGAGTGAGACTCCCAAGTCACAGATAGTCATGCATAGATATGCTACCTTTGTCGTTCTGAAGAAGTCCTCCGACTCCATCCATTAATTTGAATCTCAATTGCAGTGGGCTGATATATTGGACTTCGCACCCAGAATAGCAGATAGCTCCAATCTAATCCGGCATTTCACTTGGTGACCGGAACTCGAAAGTGAGGCAATGGCATGTGCGTGTTTCCTCTGTAATTAATCAATGGGATGGAGATGGGTAGAAAATTGTTTCACTTTCCATAAATCTTGTATTATCTGTTGTCTTGAGCTGAGTATGAAAGTGCGATTCATGGTCTGCTCATTTGAATATTTGTGTGATTTTGCTTTTTAAGTATAATTCCGACCAACCGCGCTTTGTCAATAAAATCGGTTCAGTTTCAATCAAAACTTGTATTATACTTTGTTGTTCCAATGAAACTTCCGAATTGAATGCACAATGCCAATATCAAAAATTGCATCTTAAGATCACACAATCGTCCGGGTTAAATAGGGCCAAGAATTCAGTTAGCGGTTCGATTCAAATGGGATGCAAACAATGATTTTAGTAATTCAAGCAGGCGAAGCTCAAGTTATTATTTGATAATACATTTTATCACATTAGTACCATAATTATCATTTTTATTTCATTCTGGTCACCTAATTATTTTTTATTTCAAAATCATATATATTGTTACATTTTAATTTTATTTTAGTCACTTGCCGTTTAAAAAATTAATGAAGACGTTGACATATTACCATAAGATAATGTCAAATCATGATTGATTTTTTTTAAAAGATATCATATCAATAGTTTTGTTAGTCTTTTAACAACGAATAATCATAATCAAATCAACATATAATATTAGGTATAGTTTTGATAAAATTAATTGTTCAGTGACCGAAACTAAATAAAAGTGATAGTTGAAATACTAAACATGTAATTTATCCTAAATTTTATTTCGATTTAATTATTAAATATATTTTTTAATAACAATATTTTTTAAGGTTTAAACCACGAATATCCCCTTGAATTTCATTTTGGGTCAATTTGACCTTTGAACCTTACAAATTTGGTTAAATTGTCCCAAAAACTTTGACAAGTTAAACCAAACAGACACTGAACTTAATAACTACAAAAAGTTAAGGGTTGATTTGATAAAAATAAAGTTATGGACTAATCTGACCAAACTTATTCAAACCGGGAACAAATTAAAACCCAAAGAGCCCTTTAAAGGGGCAATCAAGCTTGTCAAAGCCCTTCTAACTGACTACGGGTTATGAGGTTAGTAAGATAAGCAAATTGCAACATACTCGTGTTATCCAGGAAATTTGAACTAAACTAAAAATGGAATTTTTTTATTTCCTGTTTTTCCCTTTTCCAAACAATTTATCAAAACCCAACAATGAGCTATTTTTCTTGTACTTGAAAGGAAAAAGAAGGAAAATACCCCTAAACGATGCAACTTTCTTTCCAGCATTCTTCCCACTGCACAGACGAAATAGCCCCATATCAAACTTTTTCCCTAATCCAACAACATTGGAAAAACCCTAAAAAACTCTCTTGTTATAAGTGAGCAGGACTTATTGTACTATTTGCAAAATGCACCCTCTCAAAACCCTAAACCCACACCCAACTCAACTCATCAGCTTCCTTTCAAACAGAAGACATCCAAAAATAAAAAAGAAAAACCTAATCATCTGCCATCAAAAATTGGATCTTGTTTTGATTTTACCAAGGGCGTAGAAGAGTCAAGCTTCAGATCCGGAGTCAGATAAGCTCAATTCCAAAGAAGCTCCATCTAAATTAGTAGCAATAGATTGAGCCAGCTTTGGTTGCAAGCTATGGTGCGGTTTTAGAGACGGTCTCAGTTTCATGTACTGCAAAGCAAAATCAATAAACAAAATAAGCAACGAACATCTAGAAATTAATCTTATAAGAATTCTTAAATCCCTTCTTAAAACGCACTACTTTTAAACAAGCAGAAAGTAACCATGCATCATATTGCAGAAAAAAGCATAGAGCAGGGACAACTCAACCTAATTTCCAGTATAGAAAAAGGTTCATAAGAAACACTATCATAGAATGGCTTCCAACAAAAACAAAATATTGAATGAATCTGTTACCAGTAAAAGGAAAGTAAAACCACAATATAAAGGTATAACTTACCTCCTGATAAAATGCGTTGATCTCCTCTTCTGTAAGACCTTCATCATCACCGGAGTTTTCTTCCCAGCCAAGAGAACGAAGGAATGCAGCCTCTTCCTCATCTGGATAAAACAGAGCTAAGGAGTTCATATTCTTTTCACCATCATCAGAAAATCTTTGAGCCTCTTGACAAGTGCCACCATTGCTAGTTGCTGCAGAACCATTCTCATTAGCACGAGCAGTCAAGGAAGCACTGTCTACTTCCTTTGACACTTCAGGTTTCTCTGTGGTGGATGAGGAAATTTGAGGGTTTGAATCTGAGAGACCAACAGATGTGTTTGTTGAAGTCTTCTTCTTCAGGAGATTAAAAAAATTATTTCGACTCTGGGATTGGGCCAAAGAGGTTCTCTTTTCGACAGTGAACCCAGATATTGGATTCACGGCAGCTGCTTTACGTTCCCCGGCAGAATGCTTTGGGTTGTTTGAGTTTCTTGCAGGAGCAGATGTAACAACAGCATGTTGGCTAGTTGTAACTTTGCTGTTGACATTTGTTGGAGTAACTACATCTTTTTGAGTAGGGGATGAGACCCCATTCTCCCATCCTGGTTTGAGAACCAAAAGCTTCCCAGATGCCTTTGGCATATCGGACTTCACATGTCCACCATGAGTAGCTTGATTACCAAGATGAATCAAAGAAGGTTGCTGCTGCCCGCCCTTGACAACTATATTCATCTCATTTGTTCTGACTGCTGGTTTGGATTTTGATTTATCCACTGAACTGAGAACCTGGGACAGTAAAATCATGTAACTATTACCTGGTTCATTAATACATGAAGTAGACAAGTAACACAGCTTTAGCTGAACCCATGCATGTACAAAGTTTTGTACCTTACATAGAACGGCTAAAAAACTAGGCATGGAAAAACATAGATCAACCTCAAGCTCCTTACATATCGTAGGACTCATAAGAAAATTGAAAAAGTTTCCAAGATAGTTGCCAAGCTTCTAAACAAATATCCAACATACAATCTAAAATGAATAAAGATGATGTACAGGAAGGCAGGAGGAAGAGGGAGGGGGGCCAAACTTGTTTAATAGGTGTAAAAATATGAACTAAATACAGCTAATAGAAAATACTATTGAAACCTAAGTTGATTGGCTTACTGAACCCTTGGGCATTGAAGGTGTCACTGGTATCAGTTGCTTTGATTGCTTAATAGCCAGTTCCTCACGCCTCTGAGTCTTGACAGATAACTGTATCAAATAGGAATGTCTAGTTAAATTACAAATGTAAGTTATACATGTAATAAGAAGCCATTGACTGAGACACTTACCTGAGGAGCAGTATGTGTTCGTGAAGGAGCTTGTGCTAGAGCTTCAGCCATATTAAGACCAACTGTGACACTTGGACCACCAGAACCAGAGGTAGAAGCAGTTAGGCATGCAGGCATAGAACCTGGGCTACTACTTCCAACCACGGCGGGCATTTCTGCTAAAGCAGAGGTCCATCCTTCCCCACCAATCAAAGCTGAATTACCAACAGGTGAACTCAAACCAGGAGAAGAAACTCTAGCTATCTGAGGCAGCGCTTGCCTCTCTTCAGTTCCAAGTGAGGGAAAATCTTTCTCAAACCCAGCCTTGTGGATGCTATTCCCAATAGAACCCACAGAAAGCAGATCATTGCCATTGTTATGTTTACTATTACCACTATCTCCTGAGCCCACTGCAACCCTTCGAGGCAAAGCCTCACACTGTTTTCTAGAGACCATAGACTGAGACCGCCGCAATGTATCAATCTCAACCCTACTTGTAGAGACACCTAATTTCTCAACCCGATTTGTTAAGATACTGTCTAAAGGATCAGAAGCATCACGCTCCCAATGGTCCACAAAACCGGACCTCTCTTTATCTCTTTCTCGGTCCTTATCGCGGTGACTCCTACTGAAGCTACTGTAAGCATGCTTTGCAGAACCATTACTGTAACTCCTCCGTGAATTAAACGAAGATGCTCGATCCAAAAACGCACGACGTGGGGAATCAAAATCACTTATATTAATATAGTTTCTCTGTCTTCCCTGATGCACCACTGAAGAAACATCTAGATAACAAGAATTCAGTTATTTTATGTTCTGAAAATTAATACAAACATTCCAACAACTATAAAATATTGTAGTTTAAATAAAATGAGAAAAACAATTGTCAGGAAACAAAAAAGGCATACCGAAGTAGTATTTAACAGACAGATACATGTCAAACAGTAACATTGTAATGAAGTATAACTGGGATGAGAAATGTCAAGGGTACCTGAGTGAAAGGAAGAGGAAGCTAGGCGGCGAGCTGAATTGCCACCACCCCCAGAAACAGTGCCAGTACTTTTCAACCATTCTGGAACAAATGTTGGTTCACTTTTTTCCATAAGGGATATCAAACATGATCATCATCAGAAAGAAAATTTTCTTCTCTTTTTTCCTTTCAAAGGAAAACTTTTGATAACTTTTTCAAATGATAACTCACCAAATTAATTTTCTTCCCACGCGAACTCAAACTGTTACCCTATCCTTTGTCATTCAAACCACCATAACCAAGGTTACCAAAAATTCTATAGATTTAAGGTGTCATTCAAAAAATGGCAAAGAAGGAATTGTTTGATCAAAAAAGGGAATTTGTTTAACACGAATAAGAGGCCATGGCCACGAATACAAAGACAAGGGCAATAAGGAGATTATATTTTAATTAACTCTCTCCCTACTCCTCCATCTTTGATTAAAAGATCCAACCCCCTTTTCGTATAAAAAACGTACGCCAACAAAAGAAAAGGAATGAATGACTATTTCAAACTAATGCTAACGCTCATGCATCGGTTAGATTAGAAAAATTATCCCTAAATAACAAAATATTTGGAGTAAAACTAAAAACCCTAGATTTAATTCCGATGATAATTTCCCAACTGCTAGTGTTTGAACCCAAATGACAACAATAAAATCTGGGGAAACATTCTCCAAGGGAGATGACAAAGTGTGCAGATGAAATAAAACGGAGAGAACTAACCCTAATCCACGCTTCAATCCCAGGCTATTGCACCGTTTAACGTCTCCTAAAATCCAGCGTCTATTTTTCTCAAAAAGTTAAGAGGAATAATTACAAATAATAAGAAGATTACCAACGACCGAAATTTTCAGTGAAACAAAGGGGGAAAAAACAAAAACTGGAACAATAGAACAGCAACTGAGAAAATAAAGAAGAAATGCCGCAATTTCTGTAATTAGGGTTTTGTTTTTATTTTCTCTGAGGGCAAAGAAGGAGGCGTAATTTGTTCTTTTTACTATATTTTTTAGCAACCGGAAGGAAGCATATGAAGAACACCTTTCAACATAAATAAAGTTAAATATATATATTTTTAAAAATCTAAATATTCAATTTTATACAAGTGTAGCATTTTTTTAAAAATATTTTTATTTAAAAATCATCAAACTTTGGTGAAAGATTTTATGAGAAATAAACTATTATATTTTATAAGTAGCATCGGTAAAATAATACAAACATGCTAAAAATGCACAATAATCTCTTATTGAATTATAAACAAATAGAAGTTATTGTTTTACATACAATTACGTAAATTTTCATATAATCTATTTATTTTAATTTTGAAATTTTTTATTCTAAAATCTAAATTTTTAAATCATATACTTTGCGTGAACCAAACGATTTTGATGGTAAATAAATTATTATTCTTTGAAATCACGGATTAAAATATCATAAATATTAAAGGTGTGAGTGTTCAAAGTCAATTGGTCAAAAATTATATCTGAATTTAAACATATATTAAATTATACTTACAATATATTAATTTATATATATATATATTTGTATGATAAATAATTTCCCAACAAATAGACTTTGAAAAATATCTAGACATTAGAAGTTTGCTTACGTTTCTAGATGGTTGGCTTTGTCTATAATACTATTATATATTTATCTTGATATTTTTTATAATTAAATAAATAAATAAATTTTACCTTTTGTCACTTTTAAGTAGAGTTAGACTGTTCATGAGATAGTAAGGTTTCGACCTCTAATAGACCTGAAAAAAAAAGTTAATTATGAAACGTAAGAAAATAAAAACTTTTAGATGTTTATTTTTTTTGAATTAATCATTGATATTTGATCTATTGACCGACTAATTCAGATCAAGCACTACAGAGATGAGGGAGACCCTTCCCATCTAATTTAATCTATTCACAAATACCAAAATTTGAACCACTATCCATTGATACTGCAAAGGATACCAAACACTCGTTGGTTCACTCTTTAATTAATGAGTCAAGTCGAGTCATACACCATGATGGTTTAATATAAGAAATTGATGTTTTTGACTCTATTCGAAAAAATTTGATTTAAATTGATTTTCTGTTATAATTTCATAAATTTGACTCAATTAAAAAAATTCAAGTTCAAGTCGAGTTATAAAATACAATTCGAATAATTCAAACTTTTTAATAATTAATGAATTGAATTTCAAGTTTGAGTCGAGTCTTTTGACTCTGTATAATATATGTATATCACTTTGAAAAAAATATGAAGAAATATATATATATATATATATATATATATATATATATATATATATATATGTATTGCATATGTTTATAAAAACTATTTAAATTGGAATCAAATAGTGTCATAATATTATAAATATTTACAATTAAATTTAAATAGAAACTCGAAAATTCAATTCGACCCGAGTCACTCGAATTTTATAGACTTGACTAGACTCGAAAAAATTTCAAATCAAGTTTAAATTATAAAAATAAGATTTATCAACTCAAATAACTCAATTTTTTTACTTGACTCAACTCGATCGAATGACCACCCTTAATATCTAAGACCTAGATATACTCATTTCTCTTTAAAACACCAGCACAAAGTAATAACAAACATTACAAGTACATATTATAGCTACATTCTTTATATACAGTTGAACTTTGATGATTTTAATATACTGAAAGTATTAAATAATTTTAAAGAATATATTTGATTCGAATATAACAAATAAATTTAATTCTCAAAATTCTATTTTTCATTAAATACTTAAAGAATTTTGTCAAATATTAAAAACAATTTTATAATAAATTTCTCTCTGTGTTTCTAACATAAAACAATCAAAATAAACATTTTGGCTTCATAATCACTGATACTTTTTCATGAAGTTTCAATAACCTATGAACAATATCTATATTTCATGTGGTATTCTACTAAATCCTTTGAAAAATTTTGAGCAGTATCGATATCTTCAAGAGTATCGATAATCATTTTAAAAAATTAAACTTCGATACTATTTATAACTTAGTATCGACCTCGTGGTAGTATTAATACCCTTTTAGTGTTTCCAAAAACAATAAGATATTTTGGTACTATATTGTACTCAATATCAATACTACCCATAACAATAATATCGATACTGTCTGTGAAGTATCGATACTCTCGAATTGTAAATGTTGTATTTTTGTAATTAATGCGGGTATTACCAATACTTTACCCTTATAATGTCAATATCATAGATGTCTGAACAACATTTATTGTAGAAAATTGTCTTCAATGGTTATATTAGCTATCACAACTATCCAAGCTACTATAATTGATTGAAATAATACAAATACAATATCCTAAAACATTCATATAAATATAAAAAAATATAAAGAAAATTAGAGTAACCAATTTGAGAAAAAGAAAGGGTTATTTGTATTCATATTACATTTTGCTTTTAAGATCAAAGTTTGCACTCTTATAATATTTTTATTGTTATTGAATTGTACAAACACATATTTTTTAAAGATTTTTAAAATTCGTTAATGATAATTTTTCTCTTTGAAATAATATCTTGTGACTTTAGGGTATAAGTAATGAGAGAGTTTATAAGATTACACCTTATCATGATACAAATTACTGAATTTGTGAATGTAACTCTATTGAGAAAGTTGAACTACTCTAATTTTTTGTATTTATCTTTTAATTTCTATTGAAGTTTTTACAAAAAAAAAAATCAATTAATCTCTTATTGATTATTTTATTCGATCCATTAACTCAATATATACTAGTTAAATATTTTGTGTTATACATGGTTTTTGAAATTTTAACAACAAAACAAAAAATAACCCCAACGTTTATATAAATACACTTTATTTCTTATTCTTTTTTTGGAGCATTTTTCCTATAACGTTTAATTAACTAATGATCAACTCATGTTGCTAACGTTAAATTTTTACATGCGTTCAACGTAACATGTACCATGTCATCAAAAGTAATTATATGTCATTTGTTGCGCCACAAAAAATGAAGATGCGACAAATGCTACATCAATGATATGAATTGATAATTTGTTTATTAACAATTTTCATAAAATATATTTATTTCAATAAAAAAATTAAAATATTAGTAAGTAAAACGCTCCAAGAAAAATAAAAACAAAATGGTAATTTATCCAAACGTTGGAGTTATTTTTTTTTCATTATACCAAAAATTTAATTTGAATCAATTAGCCCTCACCCATATTACGCACATTTCCCACAATTTTCCAATGATAAAAGACGAAGTGTTCCATTTTGCCAGCTGCCATGTGGGTCTACTTACGCCGTTTGACAAATAAACCCCGTTTGTTTACGTGGCAATAATTTGAACAGTTGGAGTAACACGGCCCCACCTTAAGCCAAATTTAACCTTTCTTAATCCTCCACGTGGCAGCGCGTTTAAATATTTTTTTTTCGCCGTCTCCATCGACGGCGTTTACCAGCCGCTCTGTCTACCATAATCGTCTTTCTATCTCTCTCTCTTCGGGTCAGCTCCTTTTCGCTTCCCAAATTTTCGTTCTCACGCTTCGTTGATATTTTAGGAAACCCTAAATTGCTTTATGCGCTTTTGAATTTTGATGGATTTTGCTCCCCATGCATCATTTACCTCGATTCTTTGGTAATGGAGTCGCCATGGACTCGAAGAAGAGCAGAAGGAGAAAACCTAGGCTCGAACGCCGCAAAGCATCGAAGGACATCGAGTATGATGCGTCGTCGTTTTACTCGTCTATTGATGATTCTTCTTCATCTTCTTCTCCTATACTCACACGATCGCTCGATTTATACGATAAAACCAGCTTCCGTATCGAAGGAACCGACGGGGAGCTCGATCGGATTTATCGGAGCTTGGGATTTAGTGGTCCTGAAGATTTTTCCATCCCCACCGCCGCTTGGGAGGACCATAAAATCAGATCCTCTTCGGATGTTCTGCCGCGGTCCAGGTTGAACCGGTTGCATAGTCCTAAAGAGGAGACGGCTCAAGTGAGAGACGGTGATGAAGTAACGGTAGCTGAATTGTCTGATAGGCTTTCGGCTACTGGATTGACTGGGAACGGCTCGTCCGAGTTAAAGATAAGGCAATGCTGCTTTTCCGATAAAATTGCGTTCAATGATACTACTAAAATCGAGTTGGAGTTAAATGCGTCTTGCGTTTCGTATCCTGGTGGTGGAGGAAGGAATAGTGGAATTAAAGGGGCCAGGCCACCGTTTTTAAAGCCTCCTCCGGGATCGAAGCTACATGTGATCGATAAGGATTTCTCCCCTGAAGAGGATAGAGGGTGTGTGGTTCCGGATAACTTGCATTCTTTCAATTATGAAGAATATAAAAGAGAGGAGGGTGGGGTTAACGAGGAAAATGCTAAGGAGGAAAATTTAATGAGAATAGGAGAGACTGTGATGCTTTCAGAATCTTGTTCGTTTACAACTTCGAATGATGATGACTCTTCGAGTACCACAACAGAGCCTATGTCAAATATTTCCCCTAACGGTCGGTTCAAAAGGACAATTACTTGTTGGCAGAAAGGTGATCTTTTGGGGCGTGGATCGTTTGGATCAGTTTACGAAGGGATTTCTGAGTAAGTGATTTAATACTGCATATAATTATAACGTATAACTCCATTTAGGTAGCTTTCATTTCAAGTTATATTATCTTTGGGTACCGCCTTATTTCTATTCATAGTTTTTTTACTTGGGCGGCACCATTTTTTTTCTTTTTAGAATTTAGAGATTAGAAAACATATAGGGTTAGGAAGTGTTGTTGCTCTTAATTAAGCATTTAAGAAAGCGTCATTATATGGCACCTTAACAAATAGTTGGTTTTCCATTTGCCTAATAGATTATTTATTGTTTTTCTTTAGGAAAGAGGCGTTTTTCTTTTAATCATTATATGCTAATTAGTTATCCACTCATTTTCGTGTAGCGATGGATTCTTTTTTGCCGTGAAGGAAGTTTCATTGCTTGATCAAGGAAGTCAGGGAAAGCAAAGTATTATC